TGCTGTTGTTTGCAAAATGTATAGATAATTAATTTTTCTTTTAAAAATTAGGCTGTTGGAGATTTGAATCTGAGGAACGTCCTGATATTGAACAAGTTTTAGAATGCATTAAATTAAATTCACCTATAGATTATAACAATTAATTATTATATTTTACTTTTTTAATTTTATATAATTATAAATAATATTTCTTAATAATAAATAATTTGTTTAATTTTTTTAATACATATAATGATCTTTGTGGTTTTCTGGTTCAGAAAATTCATTAAAATCGAATGTTCTACTAATATAAAATGCATCTTTATGAGGAATGTAACTTGATTCAATTTGAATGTTATCAAATGGTTCGAAACTCTTCCTAAGAACAACAGTTTCTTCCCGCCTGTCTGGATAAAGACTATGACCAAATAATGAATCATACCAGAACCCTAATATCTCTTCTAATTTATCAAAAGTTGGCCTTTTTGTTGGATCCGCGTCAAGACATTGTTTAGCTAATTGGAAGTAATACGCTGGAGTAGTGTTCTTATTTATTTCCGGTCTCAATCCCTCCCCACAAACTCTTGCAGCCAGGTTTTCATCATGTGGAATATCATAAAATGGTGGTTTCCCAGTAGTCATTTCGGTCATTATCACACCAAAACTATAAACATCTGATTCCTTAGATTGTGGTTGTCCGTGCAGTACTTCTGGTGCAATATATGGTAAAACTCCAGATAACACATTACTATTAGGGCTAGTTTTAACATCTGATGAAAATCCAAATCCTGCAATATATGTATGGATGCGATTACTTCTTTTTTTACTAAAATATTCCCACAATGAAGATTACGATGAATACATCCCGCACGATGAATTCTTCTCATACCACTTGATATGTTGAAAAGGATTTCGATCCTACTTGTCCATTGTGATTGTGGGGATTCTAGGGATTCTTGGATTTTATTATCCAGAAAATTTCGTAGACTAGCTTTTTTATAATCCATAACTATTATATAATTTTTGGTTTCTGGATTTTGTGTAATACCATATAATCTTAGTAATTTATGTGTGTCAGATTTTTGATCTTCATAGATGCATTGAAAATAAGCTTCAATCTATTACATGTGTGTAAAATATGCACATGATATTTACGAAATATAATGCATATTAATATTAATAAAAGCATTAACTTAGATTTTATTTATATTATTATTCATTACCTTTGATAAAAAATCAAGGAACATATCATAACCACTTTTTATTTCTTTCATAGCGACATCAATTACTTTGTGTTTACTTTTAACATTCCCATCACAGTATCTCAATCCATCATGCCACTTGGCATGATACACAACGCCATAGCCACCTTCACCAATTCTTTCGATAATTTCAAGATTTCCATAAGGAATGTATTCAAGAAATGGGTCGTCGTAATGATTTGCTTTTTTTACATTGTTTAAGATAAATTCCCTTATGGTTTCATCTTCGACATTCCAACTCCTAACTAAGAATCCTGGATCGCATGTTTTACACCATTGTCTCCCTGTGTTGGGATTATTACAATATATAAACAAATGCCATTCATTTTTTTTTTTTATTTTTAAAAATTTAAGCGAAGAAAAAAAAATATTTATTAAGGATAAGAATGAATA